TGAAGGATATTATATCAAGTTATCATTTGAAAACTATTGCATTTTGGCATTTCGAGAAATCCTCACAAAAATCTTGGACTGAAGAAACTTTAGTTCATCATCTTGTTACATTGCTTCAGGAGTTTGCAGAAGCTTTGAGAATACAAAATCTTCCAATGTACTTTATGCCAAAATTTAACCTCCTCGAAGATGTTGACGATCCCGAAGTCACGCTGGACTTAATGGAAAAGATTTCACAACTTGCACACAATTTCTCTGCGATATCTGAAGCTGTACACAATTGCAATACTTTAAAATTGCTTTTCGCGACTGCCTCCGATCATTATAACCTTGCAAACATATTCGTCACCTTACGTGAAGAAAAATTGAAAAAAGCGCAAGAAAACTGTGAAGTTTCATTCACCTTCTACGATGTCTTCGTAGCTATGGAGAAACTCGTAAATAGATAATTAATGTAGTTCTGACATCTGATTTATTTGTGTACTTAGACCACAACATGCGTCAAGAATTCCTCCCATTATATTGTGGTTTTGCTATACTGTATACTGGTCTCATATAATTGGTTCAGGATATTCAGCGCAGCATAATCAGTTTAGTTTGATTTATAGAGATTGAGAATATTATATTGTCATGGTTTTTTACATTCAGTTAATTTGGTGTACAGTTTGAGCGCATGTATCCAATTAAGTGCAGGGTTGTGGTTATAGGATTGTTAGCAGGGGCGTAGGAACTAAGGGCGGGAGGCAGGGGGGCAGACCCCCCCCCCAAGTTTTGCCAAGTGCCCTTTTTCTGGGAGCAAAGTGCCCTTTTCTTGCGTGAAAAATGTGTTAAGAATCGCCTTTTTTTGCCCAAAGGGCACTTTTGAAAACTTGAATTTATGTTATTTTCCCGAAAATATTATTCATTTGGGGGGAAAATATGATATATCGGGAAAATTTTTTGGTATATCTGGAAAAATTTCTTCATATTTAGGAAAAAATGTGATATTTCCGGAAAATTTTTTTTGGTATATCCGGGAAAAAAAATTTTAGATGCCCTTTTTTATTCGGAAAGTGCCCCTCGAAGCCTGCCCTCCCCCCCCCCAACTTTTAGAAGCTTCCTACGTCCCTGATTGTTAGACTAAGTAAGTGATCATGAACACTTACTATATTAATGTAAATTCGCCATGTTTGGTACAAAATACAACTCTAGAGGTCATGTGTAAGATTCCTAATTCTCTGGCAAAGTAACTTGAACCATTGTTATAGATATGGATAATATTTCTTGGGAAATGTGCCTGATATTCCAAATTTGATCAAGAATTATCATCTTGGTTATCACCTTTGTACATTTTGGTCCCATAATAGAATAGGGATAAATTATTTGTGAGCATACTTAAAAGATATTCCGTTCTGAGAAGCTCCTTGAGGCATACAGCTACAATGTCCGCGATAGTGGTGCATCATTAAAGTCGCTAGCTTGGCACCACCAAATTTCAACTTGTCCAACATAATATTAAAATAAGTATGTGGATATATGAGGATGAAACTAAGACCTATTTGGCTGGGGCAATAATTGTTATTCAAAGGACAATCTTATAAGTGTAAACCTATTATCACGCCTTACACAAGTTAGTATGTTGCATCTTTCCATTTGCGGCAAATCGCATGATGATATTTTCATTTGAGAAACATTTAACTTACACTTGTATGCCCTGAATTGACTCCAGAAACTAACAGCTTGGACCTTAATGAGTGAAATATATTGATTATATATCAGCGAATATGATAGACGATATATGAATGATTATGATTATTTGCTAGTGTACTACATGCATGCAGAAACCCTCGCCTTGCTGACAAAACCATTGTATTTTCCGAACATGAAGCTTTTAAAGTATATTTCTACAATTGAAAAATCCCCTAAAAATATCTCTTTTAATTACAAAATTATCAATTTCCCAAACATATATATGTTAGGTATTAGGAGTGTGCATCGGATCGGATTGGACGTTTATAATCCGACAATTGGCTAATGTTTAAAATCCTATCCGAAATTGTCTAATCCGAATCCGAGTTTTGATAAAGAATTCCGATCCAATCCGAAGAAGCCATTAATAAAATAAATTTCTCATTCAAGTGGAAATATGTAACAAAATAAATGTAAAAGCAAGAAATACATTAGAAGCTGACAAAATGACATCCAATTGAAGTATCAAACGAATAATGCCGCGACAACCGCGTTGTCGTGGATAACTAATTCATTTTATTTCGAATATCGAGTCCGATCCGATTCAACTACTATTTCAATCAATCAATCAATCAATCAATCTGTTTAATTTAAACCCATTTGCAGTTTTTAAAGGAAAACTGAATTACGTGAAGTACTAATATAGCATAAAAATGTGGGTAAAATAATTTTTATTTAGTTAGGACTGTTAATTAACTATAAAGCTAATAATATTTCCTAGTCACGAAGTTTTTTAACCGTTCAGTGGTTTCTGGCCATAAAGGTTGTTCGGCCGTTCTGTCATTCCTTAAGTCATAATCATGAGTTTTACCCCGGGACGAATTTCCATAATATGGGTCAAAGGGTTGTAGGGTGGAACATCACGTCGCAGAGATTCGACGAATTTCTTGCAAGAGATGTCTCTACGAGTACTCAGATACTGTAACTTTGAAATTTCAAGGGCTTCATCATATAACAGATCTGGATAAGCTAGCTATACTCAATGCTCTCTTTTGAACAGATTCGAGAATGTCAGATAATGATTTAGGTATTGTATTTTATTATTAATGGTCTATTAAAAAATCGTCGCGCTCGATGAAAGCGAATTGGGAAATTATTTACAAACTTTAGTTAAAAATATTAAAAAGTACCTTGTGTTACTGGCATTATATTACAACAATAGTTTACTGATCTATGAATTAATATCGAAAGAACTTTTAAATTTACAAAATTTTCAAAATTTATAAATTTGTGATTGAATACACATAGTAGGAAAAAAGCTTTTCTTAAAGCGCTCCGTCTTACAAGGAAACAGTGTTAATCTATTTCCGTACCTTAAATTACAATTGTGTTCATTGGCCCGAGAAGGTGGTATTAAATGATTAAGGCGTGAATCAGATTAAATGATTAAATGATTAAGGTGTGTCTCATTTTGTCAAAAGTTTTTATGCACAAACCATCACGTCTTGCGCGTAATGTTGAACATTTAGCTTGGTCCAGAGCAGACTCATAGCTTAATGTGGGGTAGATTATTCGCATTGTGCGCTTCTGGACCCGTTCAATTTTATCTGACAAGTTAATGGTCAATGATGAATGCCATACCGGACAGCAGTACTCAAGCAGGGATCTAATAAATGCAAAATGTACTTGTAGTAAATGAAACGGTGAAACTCCACTGCGCTTGAGAACTCGTAAGATGTGTAGTCTTTTTGATGCTTTGGTTACTATCTCACTGATATGCAAATCCCACTTCAGATTATTCTGGATCGTTAAACCTAATACTTTGTGGGATTCTATTCTTTCAAGGCTAATGGTTTCAACAACTAAGGTGGGTGGTGGCTGCTCAATATCTCGTCGAAAGGAGACAATCATCTCTTTACACTTTTTGGTGTTCAATTTCATATTATTGGTACTTGTCCAATTACCAATTGCGTCCAACTCGTTTTGTAGTATAGATACCTCCCTTGTTGGAACAATCTCAGATATCGTCACGTCGTCTACGTACTTCCAATTACTGGAACGCGGGGATACTATTTTCAAATCATTAATCAGTATGACAAAAAGGATTGGACCCAATTTGGTACCCTGTGGGACCCCAGCACTAGTTGAAAGCCATCGGGACACGCACTGTCCCAGCTTAACGCACTGGCGGCAATTTGAAAGGAAGCTACAAATCCAAGGGATTATTGAACGGCGCACTCCCAAATCGATCAATTTTGTTATAACAATATTGTGGTCTATTCTATCGAAAGCTTTGCTAAAGTCCAGAAAGCAAGCTCTAAGGTAATGACCTGGGTTGTCCATTTTAGAAAGCCAGTTGTGGATAAGATCTAGAAGGCAAAGGGTGGTAGATGTTCCCTTCAGGCTGCCATACTGACGATTATCAATTTGTCCACCTATGTCCTCAACCATCCAACTAACCACAAAGTCTTCGAGTACTTTCGATAACACAGGGGTAAGTGCGATGGGGCGGGTATCGCTCTCAACCTGGGTTTGTTTCGCTTTAGGAATGGGCATGATGACCATACAGGGGATGCATATTCAATTCTGGATCTGATGAATGAGATATATATTTGGACAATGTGAGATGCTTGAAGGCCAGCCTTTTTAACATACGCAATTAATGCGTATAAGCGAGAATTTGCCTTTTTCAATACCATGTCGACATGGGTATTCCATGACAAGACGTTTGATATCCATACCCCTAGGAGCTTGAAGGAGGACACAGTTTCCACCGGTTTACCTGCAACATAGATCGGGTTTTCATCATCATTGATCAACATTTGTTTGCATTTCTTATAATTTAGTTCCATTCCGCGTTCTGAGGCGTAGTCCGAGATTTCATTTACGACTAATGGCATTAAACTGGGTGAAAAACGTGGTATAATCTCTAGGGCTGAGGTGTCATCCACAAACTTGATCCTACCGGGCCAGTTTTTGAGTAAGGAATTAATGAGAACAGCAAACAATAATGGACCCAATTTGTACCTTGTGGTAAGCCACCATTTGTTTTCTTCCAAGAGGACATAGAAGTTCCCACCCGGAGACATTGTTCGCGATCGCAGAGGAAGGCTTTAATCCACCGAATTATAGAGGGATGGGTACCAAGCAGGGTTAACTCTTTAATAATAACATTGTGGTTTACTAGATCAAAACCTTTCTTGAAATCTGCAAAGAACAATCTGGCAGTACAGGAACCTCTCTCAAAAGCAACCAAGATTGAATGTAAAAGGTACACCAAAGCGGGGTCGTTGATTTCTTTTGGAGTGCAAATTGTTTGGTGTCAAGTTTATTTACAACTTCAGGAAAAAATTTGTCCAAAGTACAATCCTCCATAACTTTGGCGATCTGAGATGATAAAGATATTGGTCGTAGGTCGTCTTCAATACTCTTTGGGGTGATACCTTGGGGACAGGCACTACAATAGATCTCTTCAATGCCTTTGGGAAGGTTATTTGTGTCATGGATGAGTTGAAAATGTCCGAGATAACTGGGGCAAGCTCAAAGGCAAATGTTTTCTGGATTTTATTTGGAAACATGTCAGGACCCGGTGATTTTGTGGTTTTAATTTTACTAAGTTTCCTATAGATCTGCTGGGCGTCAACGAGGTAATGGTTTGGTACTTCTAGGCCCTCCTGGATTTCGTCGAGAGTGAGGGTCAAAATGTGATGTAAGGGCAGTAAGAAAGTTATTAAAATTTTCGGCCAGTTCTTCACAATTCCAAACATCATCAGAAAATAGCTGAGAATACCAAGAATTTTTTTTTTTGACGAGAGACAACCAATGGCTTTCACTTCTTTCCACCATCTTGCCGGGTTAGAATTTTTCAATTTCTCAATTGACCTCATATAGTAGATCTTTCGCGCAACTTTAATGCATGATTGGACTCTGTTACGCCAATATTTATAAATATCTGAATTTTTCCCGCTTTCGTGTAAGGCTTTTTGGCGTCTCCCAATAGCAGACTTTATTGATGACGTCATCCAAGGCTTATCACACTTTCGTACTTTAATGCGTTCCAGGGAAAAGAATTTTTCAATCATCATAGTCATTGTATCGTTAAACTTTTCATATTTTGTATCACAGTCATGTACGTCCAAGATGGGAGACCAGTCAAATGTAGTGATATATCGTCCAAAAGGCCATATCCTGCTATCTCTGAGATCGCGTTTCCATATATGTGAATTGTCTGGCTTTGAGGGAGAAGGTTGGGCTTTCATAAGAATCGTATGATGATCACTTGTTCCAATGGGAGGGAGTTGGATTGATTCATAAATATTTTCCACCTTTGAGTTGGTTAAACACCAGTCTAAAGTTACATCAGCTCTGGTAGCTACCTTGACTATCTGCGTCAGACCAGCAATTCTTTTAAGATGGTATGGATCGAGACCCGTGCTTCTAAAATTGAAGTCGCCCGTAATTGGGACTTCAGGGTGAGAATATAAAAATGAGTCCACATTGGTTTGAATGTGTGAATACAATTCTACATTTTTAGTTTGGCGGGATGCTGTGGAGTGGTAAACAACAGCCAGTAAGATAACCGAGACAGAGCGGGGTAGCTTCTTTGGTCTCACTGATAACCACAGTAATTCAATCGAAGAGTTTTCAAATTCCTCAATTCGTCTACAATAGATAGTGCTATTTATGTAGGCACAAACACCTCCGCCGTTTGAAACCATCTATCGTTCCTAAACAGATTGAAATTGGACAAGGATACCAAATTGTCAGGAATTGCAGGGAATAACCAAGTCTCTGTAATGTAGACCATGTCCGTTTGGTTAAAAGACAGCACAGCGTCAAGTTCGTCGACCTTGGACGTCAGGGAGCGGAGATTACAAATTAAAAGGTTTGGTATTTGGTGAAGGGTAACGTAGACTCAAATTTTATGCGTTCAAGTGTATTAGTTTTTTGGACTGAATACGAGTTTCGTGATGGGGTGGATTCTGGTAGATCGCTGATCGGGAAAAGCATAGGAATGCATGTGGAAGAGGACTCAAGGGAAATACATGGAGTGGAGCTCTGTTTAGAAGGATTTAGTAAAATCTGTTTTGGTGGATCTGGGAGGATAATCGGGGAAAACTGGACGAGGGTAGTGGGATTTCCATTAACGGCCTTGAATAAGATGGGGGTCGCCATGGGTGTAGGCTGTACGTTTGGAGCTGCTGGGGTTGGGCTGTGTGGACGTTTGGTGGCAATGGCACTTGCGCTCGGGATAAAAAAGAGGCAGGTGGCAAATGGCTACTAGTAGTGGTTTTTAATACCGATCTTCTGGTTGGTACCCAAGCGTGGGAGAAATCACATCGATCGTCTTTCAGACAGAAGCCTCTGTTCTGCAAAAAAGGACAGGGGACATTATGTTTATGTGTATTGTGAGATGGTTTAAGATGCTGAAAGTCGCATCGGTCTCCCTTTCGACACCAACCTCGACGCAGAAGAAATGGACAAGGAGTGGAATTCTTTGGGGGGCGGTCGTAACGATTTTTATTTGTCTGCTGGCTTCGCGATTGCAAGGTCAAATTTCCATAAGTAGGTACACTAACTTCTGGATTGGACAGCATATTAGGCACATTACTTTCCGGTAGTTGGTCTTCGTTGGCCTTTTTCTTAGTGCTTATGGGGACGTACTGCGTTGTAGGTGTGACAGAAGATATTTCAATAGCACCAGAGAATTTTCCTAAATATATATATATATATATATATATATATATATATATATATATATATATATATATATATATATATATATATATATATATATATATATATATATTCATAATTATTATTAAAGTAGGAATAAATCTTAGTTAAGCTACGACACGTTCGTGATTAATGCATGCTTTTTCTTTTGTTATGCATTGTTTTAATTAGGCACAGAGGTGAAAATATGCGATTTTGACTGACATTTTTAACAATCGGCCTCGTACATGCTTATTTTTTTCTCCACTTGGCATGAAAAGCATGTTATTCAATAGCTAAAAGCCTGATCTTTCCGAATATGAAAACTAATTGTTCATACGCTGAGTAATTCACGTATAATAGCGCGCTGAAATTCGATTACCCTTTTTTTATACACCCTGTATATATATATATATATATATATATATATATATATATATATATATATATATATATATATATATATATATATATATATATATATATATATTATATAGGTATCGAAATATCAGTGCTAAATGTTTAGTTTCAAATGCTCAGCATATAATACTTCGAAAAATATACGTTAAAATATATATATTGGAACGAAGCATTTGGCCCCAAACATAAAATAAAAACAACTTTAAAACGGCAGTTTAAACATGATTTATAGACTTATTTCAGTCATATATTTGTATAAATGTTGTCATGAACACAATGTCTTCGGCACGTACAATTTCTTGCTGTGTGTCGAAAGAACATTTTTGAAGCATGTTATTAGGCTGAAATGATTAGGAAAATAAATAGTTTTAATCGCTTACCTTTTTATTGTCTTGTTGAGTAGAAAAGCATCTATTGCATCAAAAATACAGGCTTTTTATCGTGTCGCTTTAGCATGTCAGCCATGCTTGGATTAAAGCACTGGATTAAAGTAACAAACACAACTGATCTCAAATTTAGTTCGCAACACTGGAGTTTTTAGGAATTTAATTAAGCGTTGGGCAAAAAAATAAATACGTTATTTACCGTTGAGGTCGGTCCGTACTTGAAAAATATTACCTTTCGTAGATTATTTCAATGTTGAATTTGTGTATCTGGAAAAACTTTAAAAATTGAAGAAATCAAGAACTTGACTATGCTCGTATCGCTAAGTCAAATTGCTTTTTTCAGCTGGTTTTGTGGCAAAGCCAATTATATGAAAAATTACATGAAAAATAATTTCGCTCGATCTCAGAAGCGTCCCTCGACCTTCGGTCTCGGGCCGCTTTTGAGACCTCATATATATATATATATATATATATATATATATATATATATATATATATATATATATATATATATATATATATATATATATATATATATATATATTTATATATATATATATATATATATATATAAATAATAAAATATCACCCCAATGACTGTCTCCTCCCTTTCTTTGTTTCCTATTGTGAGTCTAAGTTGAGCGAAATGTGGGCCCACAATGGTCTACAACAACGGAGTATATTCATTTGGTGTCGTTACATGAAGTACGAATATACAATCATACAGTGCTTATTATATGGTTTCGCGACAATTTCAACAGATTATAAATTATAAAATATGCATTTGTAATGCACACATTGGGATTCTACAATGAAATATATTACAATTAACAAGGTAAGACGGTGTTTGTCCTGATTTACTAAACAAACTCGATTTCTCTGCTCCCTGTGTGCCAAGCGCAGAATTTGTTATTGCGATAGCGAGTTCACCTAGTTGCTGTAGTGCTCACGTTAGAAATGTAGTTGAGAGGATATATTTTAGCTTTGAATTTGTGATTTAGAGATGCTTGTTCGGTTTTGCGGCATGAGCTACACATTTGAATTTACTGCATTAGTAAGGCGTGAAACTTGAGTAGCAATAATTAATTTTAAGATTAATTTTAACAAATTCTGCGCTTGGCACACAGGGAGCAGAAAAGTCGAGTTTGTTTAGTAAGTCATGACAAACACCGTCTTACCTTGTTCATTGTAGTATATTTCATTGTAGAATCCCAATGTGTGCATTACAAATGCATATTTTATAATTTATAGTCTGTTGAAATTGTCGCGAAACCATATAAGCACTGTATGATTGTATATTCGTACTTCATGTAACAACAACGACACCAAATGAATATACTCCGTTGTTGTAGACCATTGTGGGCCCACATTTCGCTCAGCTTAGACTAACAATAGGAAACAAAGAAAGGGAGGAGACAGTCATTGGGGTGATATTTTATATATATATATATATATATATATATATATATATATATATATATATATATATATATATATATATATATATATTATCAGATTATATATACTATCAGATGTAGTCAACAACTTCGTGGTTGAAGTTGTAGATTTACAACATACTTGGAATTTTTGAACAAGAAATATTTCGTTTTTATTAGGTGGCTCGATAGTCAATATTTCTGACAAAATTTTTTTGCAAATATAAAATTTTGCCTATGGGACCCTTGTACTTTTGCTTCAAAAACGTTTTATTTGGATACATTGCTTATTTTCTTCAAAATAAGCCATTTAGTATACTAGTTTGTCAATTTAGGATGTCGTTGCCATGGTAACCATATTTGTTTTTGCATGTTTTTGCGCTAAACAATGATGTATTTTTGCATCTGATGTCTCCTAAAAACGTTAGCAAGCCCCCTTAATTAAATGGAAGAGTGGATAAAGGCCTGTTAACTAGTTTACAACTGCTGAAGGAGCGGTTACAAAAAATAATAGTATAACTTTGTTTTTTACAATTCGCATGTGAGTCAAGAAAGTATTATATAAAACGATCTCATTTGGTTGAATAATCTCGTCTGAGAAGAAATTTAGAAGTATAAGAAGGAAGAAAAGGAAATTTACTGGAAATGTTTATACACAAGCGGCTCAACAAGCTACGGCTACATTGGCTGATCGACTGAAGGCACCGAGATGTCAAGCGAGAGTTTTGTTGAGCCAAAGATACACCTGCCTAGTTCTGTGAGAAATCTTGATTTAGAAAGTCCTATAGCGAGGATGAAAGTGAATCACTAGAAGGTAACAAAGCTTTCCCTTTTATTGATGTCGAAATTCTAACAGAAATAATGGAGACTTTTTGGTGTCGTGATTGTCGCTCTGAGCCTGTGACCATGTGATCACGAAGGACGATTTGGAATCCAAAAAGGGATTTGCTTCGCAGTTGATTATTGAATGTTCAGCTCAGAATTATAATTACTCAAGGAGCTTTTATACACCAGGAACTGTTCATAATGGTAAAGCTTTTGGGGTAAATCGCAGAGCTGTGTTGGCTGGAAGAAACATCGGTATCGGTCACAGAGGACCCTCAAAATCGCCGGCACCATGAACATGCCACCACCCATGAATGAGAATGCATACCGAGATCATGTAGTTGCCATCCGTGGTGAAGAGTTTGTATAGCATGAATAATGCTAACCTGAGTATCAGGCCCTCGATATTGAAGAGAGCCTGACACAATTCGCCTCTACGGGCTTTCCACCCCCAGAATATCAGCCAATTAAAATTACTTCAGGTTGTAGCATATTTCCGGTTGTCCGTTACAGGTATGTAAATACGCAAATTTCGTTATTTGCAGTTTTGTATAAATTTGAATAAATACGGAGAAAAATCGGTATGTTTTTGTCGAAATATCCACATGATGGAATTCTAAGCGTAAACTATGCCTCATTCGGGGAACCATAGCTCGATGGCTTTTTCCAGGAGTCTAAAGAGACAACATTCGGCGCCCTGAATAGGATTTCTTCTTCCTCGGTCCTCGTGTCATGTTAATAGTTTATTCGAGACAGCTATTCGCTTCAACTGCGTCTGACACAGCGGCTATTGTCTTCAATTTCTGCCTGCATGATGTTGGCATATTAGTTCGAGCGAGCTGACTATTATATCCTTGCAGGTCTTGGAAAACAGCTCGGCAATAAACTGATAAATAAGGCTTCAGCTTTTTGGAACTAAATATTTGAAAATTTCCGACATCCACATATTTTCGTTCTACGGCGACTATTACGGCGAGATATTTAGACACGCTTTCTACTATGACTATGTAGTTTTAGTTTTATACCGAGTAAAATGTTGCTGCAAAAGCGTTTTCAACGTCTTTTCGTACTTATTTTGTCATTTTTAGGCTTAATTAATTGAAAATAAATTTCAGAAATAAAGCACTTTTAACAGTATATTGACAAAATTACAAATTCTATTTTTGGTGTTTACATACGCCGGTCATATATTTCCGGTTTGAATCACATGATGCGTTTTATCGTCTCTTAGCCAATCAGCATAACATCCAGATTCTGGATGTTGAACATGGCTTTAGAGGCGAATTGTGTCAGGCCCTCTTTCAATACCGAGGGCCTGATACTCAGGTTAGAATAATGCAAGTCAAGAAACCAAACAATTTTATGAAGTGGATAGGAACTTTATAATATTGGTATTTCAGGTGACGGGACATGGCGACGAAGCCTCCATGGTGGTACGCATAACCAAAACGAAGCATTCAATGCACCCATTCCAGTCTTCCTACTGTTGAATTGGCTATCTATCTTGCAGTTGGTCACTTGAATGATGGATCCAGAACAATTTTATCTGTTTTGGAAAATCTTTGTGTTGACCCTGGAATCTATTCTACCAAAGCCTGTAAGATTGATATTGACCGGATTCGGCACTCGCGCCAAAAGAGCTCTGATGCATCCAAAAAGCGCCGCAGAAAAATTAGACAGTAGAAAAAGGGGCATAATGAAACCCAGAAAGCAAAAGAGGAACCCCAGTATGAGGCTGGTGCTTTCTAATTGGGAACATGAACTTTGGTTCAAGTTTAATATATAAATCAAACTTCAGAGTGATTTTTCTCATTTTTGAGAATTTGAGTGTTCCGAGAGCCAATAATTGCAATATCTTGAGAAGTATTTTACATATAAGCATGAAATTTTCACTGTGAATTCATACAAGTATTAGCTGTGGAACACCTTATTATTTTCCTGTTTGACTATCCCAAACAATATTTAGAGTCTTTGGACAACATGTTGTTGGAGAATTTTTCTTATCAATTTTGAGAAAGGCCAAAATATATTAAAGCATTAGAATATCTGCAAAATAATAGGTCATTGCACAGCTTTTGTATTGGGTTGGGTGGGTAAAAGGGTGTGGCTCCTTAGCAACTGTAGATATGGACAAAAAAAGTTTTGTGAGTTGAAGCTATTGGACCATTGTATCTATTCATTCAAATTAAATTATCAGAAAAGCACCTGCACTATGATAAATAGTGGTCTCAAAATAACCCTATTTTGACTATCGAGCCACCTATCTTTACTTTGTTCGCCATTCAGCCCATTGTTGCTGATCTACAGGTAAACTGAATAGTCCGTTTCTTATTTTTGATTTCTTCTCAAACCAGTCCAGAATTTGGTTTATAAGCTATTTCCATGCAAAAACTAGTCCAAGAGCAAAAATATTACCTTTCGTAGATTATTTCAATGTTGAATTTGTGTATCTGGAAAAACTTTGAAAATTGAATAAATCAAGAACTTGACTATGCTCGTATTGCTTTTTTTCCACCTGGTTTTGTGGCAAAGCCAATTATATGACCGCGAAGAATGCGCCCGGCACTTTTTGGGACACTGGAGATGCTAACATTTATTAATGTTGTTATGTATTTCCATCCTCTTTTCATAGTATAACTTAACCAGTTTATTAAAGAGTTATGCTCACCTGTATAATATCTACCATTAGATGATAAATTTAAGTTCTGTTTTCTTTTCTTTTTAGGTGATAGTAGCCTTGTGCTAGTCTGCTAGACACGTAAACAAAGATTTTCTCAATATTTATGTCTGAAATGTTATACATTTGAAAACACACTGTCTCGCTGCTTTCGGGCTCTGTACAATGAATATACCGTCAAACTAATATTGGCACTTAATAGAATGCCCGTAATCTCTAAGAATCTCGAAGATTTTCTCAAATTTTCTCGTAGAATCTCAAAGATTTTCTCAAATCTATGTCTGAAATGTTTATACATTTCAAAACAACACTGTCTCGCTGCTTCTTAGCTTTGTATACTGAATATGCCGTTAAAATAATATCGGTACTTAATTAAATGGCCCGTAATGCAAAACATCAATTTATACATATTGCGTAGAATCTCAAAGATTTTCTCAATATTCATATCTGAAATGTTTATATATTTCAAAACAGTCTCGAATCTCGATCGCTGCTTCTTAGCTTTGTATATTGAATATGCCGTCAAAATAATATCGGTACTTAATTGAATGCCCGTAATGCATAACATCAATTTATATATTGCGTAGATTCTCAAAGATTTACTCAATATTCACGTCTGAAACGTTTATAGTTTGAAAAAAACACTGTATCGCTCCTTGCCAGCATCGCCACGCCATCGTGATCTATGCATGCTTGATAGCACATGCGCATTTGCGGAGCTAAAGAAAAGAATAGGTGTTGCGGGGGAATGATCTCTCACACAACATGAAAAGCGAATGTTATAAATTTTTTAAAATGTAGAATAACGACGATTCCTCGAAATTTCTGTGAACTGGAAAAAGGACAAAAGAATATTTAATAAGACAACTGAAATTGCCTGAATAACCTTCAAAGCACAATAAATCACTACAAACATAAATTGTATTCACATAATACACTCCCCCCACAAAGTTTACACTATGACTGATTGACTGACTGATTGTATGACTGGCTGACGACTGATGTGAATTTTCGCCACTCATCACAATAGTGCACATGCAGTTTCAAAGAAACTCTGCACTAAAAACATAAAGGAAGAAAAAATAGATTTAACATAACTTTATCTAAAGTCTGAACATGCTTCACACTGAAGCCTAATCACTGTCATTGAATGGTATTTTTATTTAAATTTACCAGTCGAAGACAGTGCGTTAACTTCACTTCATTACGATAGCCATTTGACAAGTTAGTAATGAATTCAAGGTAATAATGCTTTCATGAATAAATTAACTGCATAAACCATGGATCAGTGGCCTAGAGAATATATAGCTCTAAATTAAAATGTTCGTGCATGATTAGACGAGTATATGGACGCAACCGCACTGTAAATTTCAAGGAGTTGGATCAACGCTAAAAGTGTTGAATCAACTCCAAAAACGGCGACAAAATCACTCTTGAAAATCACTCACTGAAAATTATCAAAACGAGACTCTTTGACCTTTTAACAGTATATATTTTAACACTTTGAAATTCGTATGTCATGTATACACATTTAAAACTTGCATTACAACTACAAGCACGTTCTATCGTTATATATATATATATATATATATATATATATATATATATATATATATATATATATATATATATATATATATATATATATATATATATATATATGTTTTCGTTTATTGTTGCAACTGATCTATTATATACAGTTAAAAAAGGTAAAAAAGTATACTGAATTTTTCGGTCACTAACTGCGACCTTCCTCAGAGTTAACTAATGTCAAGTTGATTGAACAAGTTTTAAATGCTTAGCGTATGCAAATTTACAAGGTATGCAACAAAGGCAAATAAGTTTGCGGGAAAATTCTACGCTCATTAACTGCCATTGTCTCCTTTGTTGAGTGTAATGACTCGAGAAATATACGTTTATATATATATATATATCGAATTTCACTTTCATAACATTTATATTAACTTCTAACATTAAGGGTCATTAGAATATATATAAAATAATATATTGTTTGAGAGGCGTCAGAATATCACAGGTGCGAGACGACGCACACAAAACTTCACTTTTGAAACGCTAAAGTTTTGGTTGAACGTTGTGGATACATCTTTGAAGATGGTAACGATTATTTACAAAAATCCCTCCAACATTTTGTTTTACAAGATATCTTAAAGCTTCAGCACCTCTTGCAAATTCTAACATCTCTCGCATTTTATTCTAGTAATATTCATTATTTAAAAAGACAGGTCAATAAAATGGTAGAATGTTAATTAAACGATTATTACTAGTAAATATTTCTAAAATTTAATATAAATTTGATATATGCATAACATCTAGTCTACCTTTACCAACTTTCCGACAACGTCGTCGTACTACCTTGTGGACTGTAGAAATTGTTTTCGTACACTTTTGCAGGATCCTAATTGTAGTTCATCTGATATTTGGTTTCCGTAGTGACAAATTTCTACTTTTGATTTGTACAAGCAACACCACAATTGAACCACATTCGTATACAGATAGATATGCATAGTAGCATGTTAACGATTGTTTTCATTTCAGCCGATAAAACAATATATTTTTAAAAGCTCTCACAACGGGAAGAGTTAACTATACGGTTTTGCTACATGGATGTTTTCTCAAGCTTTCGAAGCACTTGATATGCTAACGTTTGAAACTGCGGGAATAAGACTGTCATTTTCAGTATTTCACACAAGCATAGATGATCTATAGTTAGTACCATTAATGACAAGTGTTACACCGTAATAAAACATTAATACTTTCCATAAAGTAAACATTTGAATTTCGCTGGTTAAACTTGTAAATCAGGAACCAACACTTGATGATTGTAGCAGGTGTTTTATATTTCTCCAACGAATACAATAATTATTCACATTTAGTCTTTCAATCCAGGATTAATCCTCGGCTGGAGCGTAGTACCACATTAACCCTTCTCGGGCCTTTGCAATGTTACACGTCTGTTTAATATAACTGCGTTTCTTAAATAACAGCGGACTTTGCAGTTTCTAGTGAACGAGAATGGCACGGCAGAAATATACTCCGTTGGAAGTAGTCAGCTGAAGACGTTAATCTTTATAACTAGTGTATTATTCATTAATTCATTTTCCTAATTTCGTTGTTCGCTCAGAGTACACACGAATGAAGAATACGTATTGTTCTGCATGCCGTCTAAGTTAAGGCAGGAGCAAAAGTTTCGGATTTGGAGACAGTATTTATAATGCTTGCTTTCATCAATGCTCCACTATGTCGCAAAATGGTAGTTGAATTTCACCGTCATTTTCCACAAATACAGGATAAGATGAGCAGTGTCACCAGGTACTGTAATATGCTTTCATGATTAATAGTTCAAATGCATCATCAGAATGTGATTCGGTGAAAATATTTCGTAACTTTTTGTGTTTCTCATATTGCTTGCTTCATACAGTTTGGTATCATCGATCTATATCCACGTTGCAGACTGTTGGATAAAGTTTATTATTTTATTTTTCACAAAGTAACATAGAACTCAATCAGAATGTCTGTGTGTCACACACGTAAACATGCTTATTCTGTCACAAGCTCCAATGTACCATGTCTCCATTTTTCAATTAAAGTTCATACAAATTTGCATAAAAAACTTAGCGACCTTGAAATTTCTTGTATATAATGCTATTATATTCCTAAAAACAAACCTTTTTCAGCTGAAAATGTTTTTTTCTTATCATTAGCTTATGCCAGGATAGGTTATTTTCACATATCGCCTTTGAGAACATATAGCAAAGATATTAAAATACACGAATGGAACATGATAAAATCTGGTACGTAACCTACAATCATATTCATAAATATTTTGGTCGCTTTTTCTTTGTCAAGTTTGCATAATCTTTCTTGAATTTTCTTCTACATCGTTGTAATAAATTATATTAACAAACATTTTTAGACTATGTGACTGATACGAAGACTCTAGCGAATCTAAGAAATAATGAATAGGAACAACGTACATAAGGCAGCGTTGCTGTAATATTCGCTAATAAGTGCACCCGTGAATCAAATATATGAATCAAATATATTTGTTTCCTAGGAATTTGTTCCAGTGAAAACCAAATCGCTAGCTTGTTCCGGATAGAAAAACGAGGTTAAGAAATCTTATCCATCCTCGCATTAAACACCCTTATTAAATTTGCAACGCATTGTCACGGTGGCTTCCACCAGTCAAGTTTTAACACAGACCTCCAACAAACACTCTGTTACATCATCAACAATCTACATACATAATATAACACTCAAGTATATTGCAGCATACCAAATAACTTAGTAAAATATATATTTACGTGTATATTTTAAAGATCTACTGTACTTTAAAATATACACCTAAAATCAGCGCCGTCTCGAGCGGTATCAGGTTGGGCGGGGGGGGGGGGTAAATTAAAAAAATTGGGGCCCCTTCCAGAAACTTCTTTAATATTTAACACATTCCGCAATTCCAGCATACCAGGGGCCCCTCTCCGCAAGTTTGGCCCCATTTTTACTTTTATTTGGGGGGTGTTACACCCCCCCCCCCAGTAGTTCCGGCCTTGCTTAAAATATTATTAGAACTACATTGAAAAATAAATTAGACGTATACTTATAATTTACAGCCATTTATGTGACGAAAGCAGAGTATTTTCTGCATTGGCTGAATATTATTATATCAATATTGAAACTATGTATGTCTTCAACACTTATTGTCTTTTGACGTGACACTTCGCCAAGTATTGGGGAATTTAAATTTCCAACATATTACCGCACTTTTTTCCTAAAATTTTGTAGCTTACATTTCATTCACTTTTGCCTAATTTGCGCACTCCAAATTTCTGGGTGTTGCTAAAACAACAGAAGGATGTAATCATGCATTGCAACTCTGTAGAGCGGACCGATTTAGTGTGAATGTTTTAATTTTGGCATGCATCTGCGTGTTAAAGTGTATATGCAAGGAAAAATGAAAAATTTAAAATTTCGAAATTTGGAAAGAAATGACCTCCCTTAACTACGTAAAAATATTTTTAGTTAGTAAAAGCGCTCTAAAAGTATTGAAAATGACCTAAAATGTACGACAAATACAGCTATTTTGAATCGTTACCTGATGAAAAGACTGGTACCGAAAATTCCGGCCTTGTGACGTATGCAGTGTGACACATCCAAGTGTTTACTTGAATGAAAACTACAAAATATCACTAATCGCAAGACAGTAGCTTGTATATTTTTCCTTAAAAACTCAAAAAATGTCCGATAGCGAAAGCTTTGAATCACAGACAGATACAGAACAGCCAACAGATAACGAGGACGTGTTGAGCCACAATCGTCTGTTGTACAGCCCTATCAGTTCGAGCCAGTTGCTGATAGTGACTAATGACTGTAAGGAAGACGAAACAGGCGAAGACGGTCTTGAGGCGAGATTTACGAAAACCGTAGCTGTTAGTTCATGGTAAGTTTAACAAAGCAGTCTAATATCAAAGCGTTTCTCGAATTATTTATTAGTGTGTTTCGTTTAACATGTGAATTGATTTTAGGTGCACATATGAGATTCTTGAATGTATGGCCAAATTTACGTACGATGGAAAAGACGCTGAATGTATTATATAGCACTGGGACTATCCTGTTATTACGCACCGAACACTCGAACATTATATTACCGCAAATCAACAAGCAGAACTCAAGACGGGCAAAATGAGTAAGTCAAATTAATTTCACTAAATTTTGGTCAGTTTTCATCAGTATTTTCTATATATATTCGCAATAATCGCAAATGGTTGTATTTTGTAAGATTTTGAAACGTGTATTTTAATCTATCTATTGCTTTGAAACAGTGCATTCGTGAAGGTAATAACTCAGTCTCAGTGTTCGATTGTTAATGTTTAGATACTTTGATACCTTCGTGCAGTGGTGTATATCGGTGGATAGTGAGATGCATGGATATTCGGCGTTATTCGCCATGCTCGGATGGGAAAACTCTAGACCGCTTCCAGCATGCCTGAATAATGAAATCTGGAAGAGGTATCCGTCTCAAAGCAACACTGGATATAAATAATCACAGCAGAGAACTGATAACGTGATAAAAAGTGTATACTATGTTACGTAAACTGATATTGTATAAGTATAAATTAACCTAGTCAAATAAATGGTTCTTCACTCGGACTCTGTCGCGTGAGTATGATCGACTAAGAAGTATATATAGAGCGCTCCGGCCTCGGTGGTTAATACGCCTGTTGTGAAAACATAATTTCTTGACTGATAAGGCCAGAAAGAAAATAAAATAATTTAATACGGCCCAGAATAGTATTCATTTGACGCAGCTAGTACACAACCAGTGACTAAGGAATAAATTGCGCGCAAACAGTATATAGATACGGCACGTTTCAGCAAACGCAAATAGACGAAAACATGACATACTTGAAGCGTAAACAAGCAACGAGCTTAACTGTGGTATGACGTGCGAACTGAGGTACTTTAGTACTTATATTCCTAATAGTTTATTGCGTTCTTGGTATACTCAACTTCGTTTACTTCAATTAATTTCATTTCGCCTATTCTGTCATAGTACGGACTGTATAAATTCTAGCTATATCCAACTATCTACAATGGACTATATAGAACGAAAATATCTACAATATGCCACAACTAACGACATCTGAAACCTACACTGCTACTACAACATTGATTTCGCATTTCGGCGGCTTATAAGCGATAAATCGTCGTATGGTGATATCATTGCATTGATTTACCAATGTATCGCATCTACATAAGGCAGATTTATTTGGATTTTGTTTAAATTATCAAAAAATCCCAAATCAACGCAGTTGAAGCTACATTGTTTATAGTATTTACAGATAGGAAGAGTGCACTGTGTCACACTGCATACGTCATCATGACCTCTTGGCCGCGCGAGGATTTCATCAGCTAAAATTTTCATAGCCCAACTTTAAACGCAAAATTCACAAACTTCTAGTTCGAAGTATTCAACAAGGTTGGTATTAAAATGATCAGAAAAGATGAAATTTTTAGATAATGCAAAAATCACAAAATTGAAATTTTCATTGCATATACACTTTAAGGAAACACCAAATACACTATCATTCGTGATATATTAACACCCAATAAGTGTTATAGCTGTTTTAATGCACTTATTGGGTGTAATTTTTGTGTTTTCCGAACACCAAAATGTTTTTCAGCATTTACGTTAAATAAAAAGGTGCAATGATCGCACCATTCTGATGTTGTATCACACGCGGGTATTTAATTAAAGTGCATGTAGCAAAGCATTCATTATGTTGCCACTGTTGCAAAGTTAATGTAACAGGTGCGTAGAAATTATTATAATAAAACCATCATTGGCCATATTTATATTAGGCTTTAACGTCTGAGACGACTTAAATTAACCGTCTCAGACGTTAAAGTCGTCTAATATAAATACGGGAAATTAGATAGACGAATAAAAAAATAACGTCGTCTGTTAAGTGCGTCCAACCGACGCATTTAACAGACGACTTAGTCGTCCTAGACGTTTAATTCGTCTAGTATAAATACGAGACGACTATACTTGGACGCACTTAGCAGGGAAACACTACAGAAGGTTGTCAAATTACTACATTTTATATTTTCCTGGTTTCATTCTATACTGGTTTCCAACTTTTCATCTCGTATTTATATTTGTCGCACTTAACACAAGACGTTTAATTCGTCCAGACGTTTAAAGGGAAATGGCAATATATTTTTTTATTTTCTCGTTTGAAAGAACATTAAAAAGCATATATCAAACTCTTTTACCGTTTTTTCATATCTTGCTTTCTTCTACAAATATTTTAATCGAAAGAAATGAAATGTCCGCAATCTTGGATTTTTGTAGATATGCATGTTACGTCACCACAGGGGTCACGGAATATTTCTATTTAGACAACCACTAAACATTTTGCACTCAAAATTATACTCTGTATGCCCTTTCGAAATATCAAGATCACTTGAAACCTTTAAATAGTTTCAAAAGTTCTTTCAAATGAGAAAATAAAAAATATATTGCCATTTCCCTTTAAGACGTCTTCTAATATAAATACGGCCATTAAAATAATTTAATTAAAACGTCATCAACTATATATCCATACCACACCATCAATTTCGAAAGCGTGAAAGGATGCGCACGAGAGAACGAACCCTATTGTCGTTCGGTCATTTAAAATAGATTTCACTTAGGTGAAACAATGCCTTGCTTTTTATTGCCAGTGATTTGACCAATGTAAAATAATGTACCTGCTTTATATCATGCAGGGATAGCAGAGCTGGGGTGCGAGCTGTAGGGGATGCGCACCGCACTTTTCCGCCGAGTAAAAAGAAATAATACACAATTGATATAGATGGGATAGTGTTATTATTCTCATTTTGGATTCCATGCAATTTCCAACTTAAAAATTTAAACAAACGTGGCGTAAGGCGACTATGGTATGAGTTAATAATCAAATCTTAGTAAATTTTATATTGCTATTTAACAACGAAATTTAAAACATCTCAAAACCTGAAAGTTTGCACTCTAAACTCACTATGCCAAACCTTTGCCAAATATACGACTAGTACTTCTTCAGAATGTGTTCAAGATTGAAATTCCCAAAGTATGATAATGGGATTTCGTCCGACCATTTTAAATCTGGTCGTATTTGCTAATTACTCCGCCTGCGCATGCGCAGTGCGGAGTCTAAAAATGCCTGAGTCTGTTGTCGGTTGTCGACTGTCGTCAGTGTCACAAACAGGCTCCTTGATAAATGTGTACATTCCATGACATTTAGATACTTTCTATTGACATTTGTGGATAATGTTATACGATTTGGCAGCGCAATGCGCATGCTTACAGCTCTGCTTAGTAGTGCTTACAGTATTTTTCTAAACTGCGAACTGCGAAGCGGTCTTGTGCGATGAAAAATACTAAACGATGAAAAATACTAAAAAGATGAATGTCAAGACAAAGCTTCCAGACTCAACTGAGGTAAGGGATACTAAACATTCTAATTTTGGTAGTACATGCTGCATTTTGGCAACAAGAAATTCTTTAAAGTCATAAATATAAATAAAAATATTCACTCCTACTGTATGTCGTAATGTCGATCTTATATTCTTGACTAGCAAAATATATTCTTGTGTGAAAGGTCCCTACAATGTTCTGAAGAGTTTAGGCTATGTAGTGTTGAGGCTATCGGGTTATTAAATATATTTCAATGTTTTGAAGAGTTTAGGAAATGTAGTATTGAAGCTGTCGTGTTTATAATTTACTATACACGAACACGGCAGCCATGTGGTAGTATTAAGACAAAGAATCTCATTATTTTTTACTGAATTTCGCACATTCTTTTAATTCTCAAGGGATTGGTTGCAAGACAAGAATATAATCTATGATATATAGTCATGTTAACAAATAACAGAAACGTCAGCTTCTTGAACTCACAGCCAGCTTGGGTTTGCTTGCTTTGCTCTTTCTACTGCCCTTGTGTGTTAATAGATACTATGTGTTGTGTAATGTATTTAATTCAACCCTACTAGGACTCTGGGCAGAATACCTACCAAGCCACTCAAACATGCTTTTTGGGCCTCTATTATTACAATGATGGGCCAAACAGAATTGGTGTGTCAGAATTAATATCCTATTTCTGTCTCTTATAGGTTATGGCACTTTCTTATGAAAATTCAAAGAAGTGTGTAAATGCCATTGCTCCTTTGAATGCCAAGTTAACTTTGAATGCCATGAATGCCAACTTAACCTTGAATGCCATGAATGCCAACTTATCTTTGAATGCTATGAACACCAACTTGTCTTTGAATGCTTATATTTGGCTTCACTTTTCCGTCGCACCCTACATTGTCCCCATTTTCTCCGCAGGCCGGCAGGCGGAGTGAACGCCTGAGTAGGCGTCTTGTTCCTATTATTATTGCTATTGCTATTATTATTTTTATTATTATTATGTTTGTAGGCTCCTCTATGAAATTACGGCGAAACCCACAGACATCAGCCTGCTATGGAAGGACAGATCCCCAGATATTGTATACGTAAAAACTTTTTTAGGGGTAAAAGAGCTGTCCCCCAAACCTCGACCCACACCAAACGTCTCACTACTATTATGCTCGTGAGAATGGTGTTATTATTCTTTCCCTCCCACCACATACATCCCATAAGCTCCAGCCTCTTGACCGAAGCTTTTTCAAGCCATTAAAATCTGCTCTTAACCTGGTTCCGTTTCCATCCTGGTCGTAGAATAACTACTGACAAACCATGCAATCTCATTCACCAACTACTACTCATGAAGACACAGTTATCACTGGCAGTTCGAATCAAGCATCATCTTCAGGAAACACATCCTCGACACTCCCAGATACAAGCGAATCACGAACTACTACAACTCATGTCGACACAGGTTTCTCCGCATCCTCAACACTTTCCGGCAACCACATCATCCAGTAATGATTCAGAAGGTGAAGCATCTTCCAGTTAGATTTTCTCAAATACTGAAACTTCCCTGCCTCATTGAAAAGACAAAAACAGAGTGGTTCTCCTTATAAGAAGTGTTCGCATTAGCTATAGCTACCAGTAATCAAGGACAATTGTTTCGTTGAAACATATAGTTATGTTTAGATCACTTTTATACAACATTAACGAAAAAAAAAACAATAAAGAAAGAGGAAACCTAAGCTGTTACCAAAAAGGATAAGAAAAGCATCAAAATAGTTCCTGGAAGTGGGGATGATTCGCAATGTCCAATGTGCGATGGATTTTGGACAGAATCGGTACCAGGGGAACATTGGGTTCAGTGTTCAGTTTGTAAGAATTGGTTGCATGAAGTATAAAATACGATATTTTATTGTTGTAATTTCCAGTGTATATATGTTATTTGCAAGCGGCTACATCGATAATAAACAAAAGTGCAATAAATTACAGAATCTACAACATGAAATTGCTCCAAGTTTTAAAATGTATAATTTACCAATTTACAAGCGTCAGCGATATTCTTACGCTAATTGTGTAAGACCTTATAACACTAAGGGTTGTAGGAGTAAAACGCGTACACGAAATTTACTAAAGTCTGTTACAAGAATAATAAAATTTATTACCCTGATATAGTGCAATGCTATAATGAATGAACATGGATAATGGATTATATTATGATAAGATAATGGATTGTTGTGAGAGCTTTTACAGTTTTGATGTATTTTTACTTAGTATAAAAGCTTCTAAAAAAGAATTATGGGGACCACTATTTTCGCAAAATACAAAACAACGGTAACACAGAAAACATACATACATAATATTTTCAACTGAGCATTCGACTACATTTTAATGATCATCACGAATGATATTAGGTTATACATTACAAAGATATTTTATAAGTGAGTAATTTCATATACTGTATATCAATTCATCGAGGCTGGTGTTGACTGGCGTTAAAAACAAAAACGCTTCCGAGATTCATACCACCGGAACTATTGTTGCACTTCTTGCGACTAAATCACTGCAAACAACGTGACATCTTCGCGAACCTCAAAGTATTTCACAAGGTAGGATTATCAAGTTGAATCCGGTCTGTAATCCATTACGTTTCAGGTTGTCCAGAACATGCCCATTTGGGAGGAAGGTATAGGAAAACATTCTGCCCTTAAATGCTTTCAGATGTTTAGCACGCAATTTACTAAAGAATGGAGTCAAATGAAGCGGATTTGCGTACAAAATTGGCTCCTAGATCTTTGTGCGCATGAGCAAATACGAAATGTTTGTTAAATTTGGCGCATTTGCATGCCTAATTCGTCGACATTCATGTGAAATAAAAGAGGGCAAAATGCCCGTGAAGTTTAGAGCATTTCAGCCAGCACTTGTTGAAGCGGCTGGTAATGATATACAAGACGATTTACGAATGAGCATTTACTGTACATTGTACCTAATCGTGCGGTTACTCCTTACTTAATCTTACACTCACGTCTTCACATTAAGGTGAACGTTTACCCCATGTTTCCCAGAAAAATGAGCAATTTCAGTAAAATATTTATAATATAATTTAAAAGAAGATAGCGTCCGTGAAAACCTATTTAGAAATGTAAGACACTATTCCTCCCACGTAACTCTAGCTTTAGTAATTTTTCATTGATGGCATTTGATAGTCACCCAAAACCTCTTTCACGATAATGCAACATGTTCAGTGATAATCGAACTATCTTTTAGGCTATAACTGGAAGTTTATCCTGAATATTCAACAGATCGAGTATCATCATAAAACTGCGAAAGCCCATGAAACAAAACTGATATACTTAATTAACCATTGATACTGTTAAACGTAGTCGCAATCCGGCAATTAATTACGTGAAAAATAGTCCGCCATTTTGTGTGACAAATGTCAAGGCAGAAAATGCTCTTCTAAATTCTCAAACTAAGGCAACAACCGCAGCCCTGCTTTGACTGCTAATGACCGCTAAAATCCATTTCCAGCCGACAATTTGAAAAAATATAAAATAAAACAAATTCCGAACAGGACGGATCTTGAAAATCCAAGATATGCATTAAAATGAAGACAAAATATTTTGTTCGGAATTTCTTTTATTTTACATAACCGCTAGGCCTAGGTTTATTCGAAGCAAAGCAATCACACTATTGTGTTTAACAATACCATCATTTCCTGTGGACATGCGCGCATACGTGCTACTGGTGGCCTAGAAACTAAAACATATGGGGCTTGACCTACAAGTTGGAATTAATTGACTAAGTGTTCTATAAGGATACCATACCTACTTCCATCTTTTCTTTTACTTGGCGTTTTTCGAAAGAGATACCAGGTATCATCAGGATTACCAAAGATTACTACTGTTGCCACCACGCCAAGGTTCCCATGCGACACCAATCTTGCAGTCGGATGAAGACGATGAATTGAATGAGCCTGGGTTGTGTGCTTAATAAATGAAAAGAGAAATTCATAGAAATATTATTTTCTCAAATGATATGATCTGCGTTAAAAATAAGCGTGGTTGAAGTCTTTGAATGGTTTACATGACAGTAAAACAGTTAGAACTTAAAGCTTATGCAATGGGTATGGCGTTGGATTGTGTTCGGTATACATATAGGATTATTTCTCACAAAAAATGTAACACGGAATAATTTGTAGATGGTTATTGATAAACTAACCAGTGCAAGGTATTTCATTCCCAATAAAGATCAACAATATTATCTCATAAGCAGGACTCAATGCTATTTTGAGAGTGGCATGGGAATCCAAGAGTGATCGCTGCACAATCATTGATGTCTACACTCAGAGATAAATGTTTTAAGGATAAATGTCAGAGATAAAAGTTTCGTCGGGTAAGTGGAAACTTGTATGCTAAAAAGGCAATTAGCAGCCCCCTCCCCCTCCCTTCATATTTTCCTTCTATGGTAGTAATAGAGACCTTACGATTTAGGATGGCAACGCGACGGCAACGGCTACCAATACAATCACTGAAAAGACTTGAATAATTACAATATACACATTGTCCAATTACATTGTCCTCGCTCTATTTACAACGCCAAATCACAGATTTTCACGTCTTGATACAACGGCTGCATTTCAAGACGCAACAAGTGCAACTTCAAACTGGGTTCAGTAGAACTCTTCCCAAACATAAAACCTATGTCTTCAACTTCTAAGACTGTATTAAATTCACACGATTGATAATATACCACGAATTATCTTTACTACCACTTATTTGAAGGAGTTTGTTTTGGCCGTCGTCGTCGCGTTGCCGTCCTAAAATCGTAAGGTCTCTAATGTTTAATCTAACACTTGATTTAAAAAAAATAGGTACGCTGGCTTGGAAAATATTACACTGTATACCAGTGAAAATATCCTAAGGACAAAGCTTATCGAAAAGTGAGCAATTGTCCAACACTTGGTTTACATTGTGCACCCTGCACACATTCAAAATACCTTGGAATATGAAAGGAGAGGTGCATTTGTATCGATTTTCAAGATGCACATGGTCAATGGAAGGTTTCGGTGGCCAAGTGGTTAGCGCACTTGCCTTGCCGCAGGTTCAAGCCTCAGTGAGAACTTTCTCAATGCGACTCGAACCCGGTCCTCATGTGAAAAGAGTAAAAGTCAACGATCTGCCGAAAGTCGTGGGTTTTCCCCGGGTACTCCGGCTTCCTCCCACACGGAAAGTTGACAGGATGGGCTAGGTAAGAGGGCCCACAGTAATTGGCATATGCTGTTGTGGTGTATCACATGTGGTGTATTTGTATAAGTGTCAATGCTGAAGTGCATTGTATGTTGGTCAAACTCGCCGACACATACACACGCGTATCTCTGAACACATGGGTGTTTCACCTTTGACTGGAAAGAAACGTTCTGTTTCAACCATGTCAGGCATACTCGCTCATATCCATACCACTAAACATCCAATTTCACCCTCTGATTTTAAAATCCTTTCCACTGCTAGTTCTGAATCAGATTTACTCATTCGCGAAAGCCTTTTCATATCCAAGCATAATCCTACTTTAAATGCTAACATTAGGTCAACTCCTCTTGACCTTTTCTAATGCTTTGCTAGGTCTCTAATTACTAACTATTATTTCTTTAATTTACTAATACTACTGCTTTTAATCACAGGTTGTTTTTCATCCTTCCTCTTATTCGCTTATTTGAATACTGTAACCGTTTGCAACTATTTGTATATATATAATACACGCTTGTAAATAAGTTTAATTGCTCTGAAGATGTTGTGAACAATACAACGAAACGTTAGCCAATAAATTTTATATTTTGTTATGTCTTCTCTGAAAGTCATTTGCTGGGCTTTAATTTTCATTTTTAAATTACGCTTTCCACCCGGTGTATCGATCGCTACTGTTTTAAAACGACGATACAAAGAAAACGGATCGCTGAATGCCTTCAGGAAATATCAACGTTTAGAGTTTAAACTACAGAAGGCGAAGCTTGATTTGACCTTTCTCGAGGACTGTAAAAAGAACTCGGTGATCCCAAAGTTTTTGAATTTTAAACTTGCCAACCGTGATCTACAAAATTCAAATGCATACTTACAATGCCAACGCAAGTTATTGAATCAAGAAATATCGATCAAACATTCTAGAATAATTGTCCTATCCCTTGAAGTTACTGAAGCACTCTCGAAGCTAACCGCACTAGTTTCTACTATCGATGCAATACATCTTAGATCTGTTTGCGATCGTGAAAACTCCGCCAAACTACGTCATCATGAGAGAATCCAACAAAAGAAACTTTTTCGTTTGTGTGGTGATGCGTCTAAATCTTCAACACCAGATCCTGACAAAGTAATTTTTAATTACTCATCCCGCACATTGACCGACGCTGAAAAGATCCTCCTAGCAAGAGGCCTCAACTTTTCTCTACCACCGCGTCGACCGCGTTTTGGTGATTTTCTCGCACCTTTTGAGAAATTATACGGAATCCTAAAGAAAGAACCTATTGCGAAAAACCCGATCAATGGATTTAACGAAGAGTTGATTAAAACTCGGATAAAGGATATTGCTTTGATGGGCTACAAAACATACATTCCGCCGAAATCAATCTTTCCGATGACGAGTTCAAGATAATTGAAGGACTCCAGAAGGACAACAACATTTATCTCATCAAGCCAGATAAAGGAAATGGAGTTGTCATTATCAACCGCACGGATTGTAACTCAAGAATGCTTAACATTCTTGACGATAACACTAAGTTTGAACGAATTGAGCTTAAGAAATCAAATATTTATAAAGAAACCACTCGCCGTGAAGACGCTGTCCGAACTCGAACTTAAATCTAACGAAATAATTTCTGAACATTTAAGTAAAGAACTTAATCCTATTGGCTCGCGACCAGGTATTATGTATGGTTTACCTAAAGTCCATAAGCCTAATTTCCCACTTAGACCTATAATCTCTGCTATAGGTACTCACTCCTACAAACTTGCTAAATTTCTTGTTCCACTTCTCCGTCCCTTCTCTACTAACACTTTTACAATTAATGACACCTTTACATTTGTTAAGGAATTACGTGAGTTAAAAATTAATACTAATGATGTCATAATGGCCAGTTTTGACGTTAAGTCTCTCTTTACTAACATACCATTAGATGAAACTATTGATATAATCATTAATAAATGCTTTGCTAGTGCCACACACTATCATGCTATCTCTCGCGATCAATTTAGAGAACTCTTGAATCTTTCTGTGAAAAATTGCCATTTTTTATTTGACGGTGTTCTATACAAGCAGGTTGATGGTGTAGCAATGGGTTCACCCTTAGGCCCATTGTTTGCTAACATATTCCTATCTTTTCATGAAAAATCCTGGTTAGCTGACTGCCCTTCTGTTTTTAAGCCTATATTCTACCGTCGGTATGTTGATGATTGTTTTCTTATTTTCACATCACGCGACCATGTTACTCCTTTCCTATCTCAACTCGAAACACCCCAACATTCAATTTACTCATGAGCTTGAAAGTAATTCGTGCCTTCCTTTTCTAGACGTCAAAGTCATTCGTTCTAACGGTTCTTTCGCTACCACGGTTCATCATAAATCTACTTCCACGGGATTGTTTACCAATTTTGACAGTTTTATTCCAATGCTGTACAAAAAAGGTTTACTATTGTCACTTATCTCTCGTTATTTGAACATTTGCTCTTCTTATGTATTTTTCCATTCGGAAATGGAAAAATTCAAGAAAACCTTCTCTCTTAATGGTTATCCTGCAACACTTGTGGATAGTTGTATCAAATCATTTCTTGATAAAATGTATAATTCTCGTGATAAAGTTCATACTTGCTCGAAAAAGGTTATATATTTTTGTCTTCCTTTCACTGGTCATCATGGTTTGCAAATTCGATCACAACTTCAGAAATTTCTTTCTTCTGCCTATCCACACATTTCTTTACGTGTCGTCTTTCGTCCTTCTTTCCGTCTTTCAAATTTCTTTCCATTTAAGGACAAAATTCCCGGTGAACTGAGATCACATGTGGTGTATTTGTATAAGTGTCAATGCTGTAGTGCATTGTATGTTGGTCAAACTCGCCGACACATACACACGCGTATCTCTGAACACATGGGTGTTTCACCTTTGACTGGAAAGAAACGTTCTGTTTCAACCATGTCAGGCATACTCGCTCATATACATACCACTAAACTTCAATTTCACCCTCTGATTTTAAAATCCTTTCCACTGCTAGTTCTGAAGCAGATCTACTCATTCGCGAAAGCCTTTTCATATCCAAGCTTAATCCTACTTTAAATGCTAACATTAGGTCAACTCCTCTTGACCTTTTCTAATGCTTTGCTAGGTCTCTAATTACTAACCATTATTTCTTTAATTTACTAATACTATTGCTTTTAATGACAGGTTGTTTTTCATCCTTCCTCTTATTCGCTTATTTGAATACTGTAACCGTTTGAAACTATTTGTATATATATAATACACGCTTGTAAATAAGTTTA